TATGCTATTTATTTTTTATTAAGCGGTCATAAATGTTTTAGTTTTCTTTTTCGTATTTTTTCAGTAGTCTTTTTTTGTTGCCTTACACACTCACATATACACACATGTGTTCATTTGGATATGGACGCTATGTTTATATGTATGTCTTGCCTTTCCGTTGGTCGTTTCATTGATCATAAATAAAATGGGTTTTTAGCTTTTTTTTCTTTTTCTTTGCGTTTAATCGTCAAACATTAAACGTCATTTTCATTCTTTCACATATCATCAATTGCCGCTCTTGGGCAGTGTTTATTATTTCGGAAATTTGTTGTTTATTTTAAAGTGGTAAGTATCAGCCTGACTTTCCATCATCAGTCATTGGAAATAAAAGACAGAGGGGAAGTAGAAGTTCTATTTGGATATAGAAGAGGTTGAGTCGTCAAGATCATACCCTACAACAATTTTACAAAGGTTAAGGATTTTAGGAATCAACAATTATCCTTAGATTAGTATGGAAGTTTTTGGAATTTAGATCTTTCAGGTGGTCTTCTTTATATGGGTTTCCATAGAGAAAGAGGAGTTAGAAATTATCTTGTTTGACAGAAGACCGTTGAAGTGAGCTTTTTTGGAAAGAAGATTATTCAGATGGGCTTAACATTTGAATCAGACCAACTCGTATAGGTAAATGTCAGTGGGTCTTGAAATAGCTTCCCAAAAAAGACCCTGTAGATGGCCTTCTATAGCTAGAAAATCCATATGAATTTTACTCCCACTCGAAGACAAGAAAAACGTTCTCACACTTATTCGAATGACATAGAAAAATAGAGTAACTAGCAGGAACACTCCCGCTGGGATTCAAGTAGTAAAAATCGATCGAATTCGGGCGGGAGTACTACTGCAAGTAAAAAAGGAAATCGAGCATTTCGGAGTTCTGAAAAAAAATAAGACCTTCTATTGGCCCTTCAGAAGACCCCTCTTCCCTTCAGATAACAGTTCTCTCAAAATGAGCAAATGAGGTATTTAATAGGTATAACGAACATTCAGAGGTCTTCTATCAATAGAAGATTCTTGGGTAACCTTCTGCTAATAAAAGGACTGTAAGGAAAAAAGAGAGAAGCGATATGTACGGTTCTTCACATGGACTAAGATATGAAATATTACCTTACATTATCTTCGATACCTAACAGGTTCTTCAGATGAATTTTGTACGGGAACAAATGCAAATTAATGCGAATAATCCGTTGTAAAGTGGACCGAGCCATGTCCAACTGCTGAGAACGGCATTTTTGGGATGTTCTTGGGGACCTCTCAACACTGGCTCGTACGGCAGCGATATTCTCGGCCGGTCGCCTTGGTCGACTTTTATATGGCCTCTTCGGATTAGAAAGAGCCTTACCAGTCGAAAATTTTTCGTATAAACGCTTAATGGTGTTCTTAGAAGGCTCACTTGTCACATTTTTTAATGTTTTAAAAGCACGTTGAGTTTTCACAATTGACTTCTTCTGTTGAATGTAAATTTCAAATATTTCGTGTGGCGTGTATTGGTCCATGGTAAAAATCTGCTTGGACTGACGCTTCAAACGCGGTATGTCATTAAGCGATGTGACATCTCTGTCAAAAGTTATGGGGTTGCCAGATGGGTCCGTCGATAAAAGCCCTCTATTAGACTAAATGCCCTTCTATAGATATGAAGCCCCTTACATGACCCTTCTAATATGACCTTCTACTGATAGATGGTCCTTCGGATGGCGTTCCATAAATACTTTTCAGATAGCCTTTTATAGATTAAAGGCCCGTCTTATGGCCTTCTATAGATATGAGATCCCTTGAATGACCTTCTTAAGATACGATACTTCATACGGCAAAAAATAGCTCTTCATACGGCCTTCTACAGATGGAAAGCCCTCAAGATGGCCTTCTACGGATAGCGGCACTTCAGATATCCTTATATAGATCGAAGGTATTCAAGTAACATGGTGTAGATTTAAAACTCTCAAAAGGTCTTCTATGGGTGGAAGGTCCTGTAGGTATTCTCTTGCCCATAGAAGGCCCTATGAATGGAATGTCTTGCAAATGGCCTACTATCAAAAAAAGCAATAAATGAAGCCCAATCATATGTAAACAGAAAGACCTGTTCAAAGATTTTTGTCAGAAACTATAGATCCCATTTAACATATCTTTCCGGAGACAGTTACACAAAACAACATCCTAATTAATTCAAAAATATTTTGGCCTAATAAAATAATCCTTCAAAAGTGTTTATTCATAAGAGACTTTAATTTTTCGCATCTTCACATTTATTCACATCTATATATTATATACACACACATATATTTTAAGATTATAAATGACCACACCGTTCTATTTTTAGCAACACCCAAATAACAACAACAATAAAAAGAAGATGAAGACAAATGTTTGTGGACACTTCAAAGCAAAAAAAAAAAAAAAAACGAAAAACACAATACAATTTGTTTGAAAAGGTCAAAGGTAAAACGAATAAAATTTTGAATGTCAACAATAAAAAAAAACAATCAACACACACGAACTAACGAACGAACACATGTTTTTTTTTTTTTTTTTTCTTTTTTCAATTGCCAACACTCAAATATAGTTTCTATATCGTTTATTAGGCCTTCTAATGGAAACTGTTCGTACTATAAATAGCTTTTTTAGTTTATTTTGAGGTGACTACTAAAAAAAGAAGGTGTAAACTTTAATTCCTTGCAGGAGGTGGAGACCGTTCAGTGGAATTTGGAAAATTGGAAAAAAAAACTTTTAAATGATTTCAAATTAACTTCAATCGATCAGATGGTTGGGTCGTTTCGAATTACACTATGCAACAATCTTAGGGTCCTTCAAAGTGGGAATGAAAGAATTATGTTAGTTGTTTACAATTCCATAAGGTGTTTGGGCAATGCCTTAAAACTATAAAGCTAAAGAAGGTGTTATATTCATTACCAGGTAATGAGTAACGGCGACATAGAGTTTGGGCGTCCGACTACAGATCCGAACATTGCGAGTGCAAAACTCGGTACCGGCAGACAAAAAAAAAATAACAAGTAAAAAAACTGTAAGTTCGGCCGGGCCGAACTTTGAATACCCTCCACAATTTGGGAAAAATTTGGCAATTTCCCAAAAAAAAAATTAAAATTCGTTTAAAATTCTGTTAAAATCTTAAAAATACCGAATGTAGCCGTTATATAAGGGTCCATACGACGACGTGGTATGCAGGTCCATAAGCCATTACAATATTCAAATACGAAAATTGAAAAAAAAAATTGGTAAATAATGTAGCTAAAAGCATTAAAATACCGAATATAGGAAGGTACACTTATAATGGGGCTATACGAAGACGTGGACCTGCACAGACCATTTTCTGTCATAGGCTAAATAGTACGAACTTTAAATATCAAATTTGAAACAATTTCGGTAAATAATGTCGCTGAAATCATCAAAATACCAAATATCGAGAGGTACCGTTATATGGGGGCTATATGAAGAGGTGGACCTGCACAGGCAATTTTCTGTCTTAGGCTGTATTATCCATTACGAACTTCAAATACCACATTTGAAACAATTCCGGTGAATAATATCGCTAAAATCATCAAAATACTGAATATTGGGAGGTACCGTTACATGGGGGCTATATGAAAAGGTGGACCTGCACAGACAATTTTCTGTCTTAGGCTGTAGTATCCATTACAAACTTCAAATACCAAATTTGAAACAATATCGGGGAATATTGTCGCTAAAGTCATCAAAATACCGAATATCGGGAAGTATGATTATGTAAGGGCTATACGAAGACGTGGACCTGCACAGACAATTTTCTGTCTTAGGCTGTAGTATCTATTACTAATTTCATTTACCAAATTGGAAATAATTCTGGTGAGTAATGCCTCTAAAATCATCAAAATACCGAATATCGGGAGGTACCGTTATATGAGGACTATACGAAGACGTGAACCTGCACAGACAGTTCCCTTCGTAGGCTGTAGTATCTATTACTAATTTCAATTACCAAATTTGAAATAATTCTGGTGAATAATGCCTCTAAAATCATCAAAATACCGAATATCGGGAGGTACCGTTATATGAGGGCTATACGAAGACGTGAACCTGCACAGACAGTTCCCTGTCTTAGGCTGTAGTATCTATTACTAATTTCAAATACCAAATTTGAAATAATTCTGGTGAATAACATCGCTAAAATCATCAAAATACCGAATATAGGGAGGTACACTTATATTGTGGCTATACGAAGACGTGGACCTGCACAGACAATTTTATGTCTTAGACTGTAGTATCTATTACGAACTTCAAATACCAAATTGGAAATAATTCTGCTGAATAATGCCTTTAAAATCATCAAAATACCGAATATCGGGAGGTACCGTTATATGAGGGCTATACGAAGACGTGGACCTGCACAGACAATTTTCTGTCTTAGGCTGTAGTATCTATTACTAATTTCAAATACCAAATTGGAAATAATTCTGGTGAATAATGCCTCTAAAATCATCAAAATACCGAATATTGGGAGGTACCGTTATATGAGGGCTATACGAAGACGCGAACCTGCACAGACAGTTTTCTGTCGTAGGCTGTAATAGCTATGAATTACAAATGGAACAATTCGAATTACAAACGGGAATTCTTGGATTTAATTGAAGTATTACGAAGGAGAAATGTAATTCTCGAATTACAACTGAAATTTTACGAAGGAGAAATGTAATTCTCGAATTATAATTGATATGTTAGGAATTACAAATGTAATTTTCGAATTACAATTTAATGCTACAGATCACAAATGGAATAATTCGTACTACACTTGAAGTTTTTCGAATTACAAATGTAATTCTCGAATTACGAATACAAATTAAATTGTTCGAATTACAATTGCAATGTTACGAAATGGGGGTTTTGATCATTCAAAACATTGACCCTTTGTTTGTATTCAATTTTCAATTTTCTACAACAAAAACAATTTCTTATAAAAATAATCGTTTTCGACTTACCTTCACATATATACCCCTGTCCAATCAAACCGAACCACAAGATATCCGAACAATGATGACAATATGTTGGCTTATGGAAATTCTTCTTTACGAACGTGTGACCACCATCCGCCATTTTGCGCACAATCGAGTCCATGAAGAAATCTCTATTGGGATCGTTGTTGTAGTTGTTGCTGTTTCTGTTGCTAATGCCGAAGATGTCCGACGACTCGACGTCCAATGGAGACGTCCTTGTAGTCCAATGGAAATTTACAACAATTAACAACAAATAGTAGCAAACGATCCAACCCGAAGTAATGGCAAACAACGACGACGACGACGATCCGCAATACTTGAAGAAGATGGACGAAGAAGGAATCGTTGATGGTTGTTGTCGATGTTGTTCCTTCTGTTGCTGCTGCTGCTGGCGATGTTGATGCTCTTGATGGTGGTGCTGCTGTGGCTGGTGATGCTGCTGCTTCTGCGCTTGTAGGTGTCTGTTGCTTATGTCTGCCGTTTTGGTTTCTGTTATTTTCAACAATTTTCCAGTTTAACTTCAATCCTGTTGTGGTTTTAGTAAATTGTAACGGGGGAGACACGTAAGTTACGAATTCCCACCCACCAAAAAAAGGATGCGAGAGTTTTAGGCAATTTTGTTTTAGCTTAGAAACGTTTCTGTTGTTACTGTTGTTTTTGGTTTTATCGGCTTTCTAATTAGTTGTGTTTGTTTGTGTAGTTTTGTTTCTTTTTTTTTTTGGACAAGGAACCAATTTGTTGCTGTGTTGCTGTAGTTGTTGTTGTTGTTGTTTAGTACAATAGCAATAGGTGATGATATTTGAATAGTTGTGGTTGTTGCTGTCTCTGCTTTTGTTGTTGTTGTTGTACTAAGTGTTGTTGCTTTTGTTGTTGTTGTATATCAAAGGTGGGATTGGTTAATTTAATCTCTGCTGCTGTTATTAAATTCCTGGACAAAAACGACCAACAAAACTTGTTCAATTGGACAGAGGATGTTGTTGCTGCTCTTCGTATGACGTCAGATGATGATGCGACAAATTGTTGTTGCTTTTCGATTTCAACTTCATCAATTCGAAACACGTTGTCGCCTCCTTCGTCCTCGTAATGTTGTATATCTTCGTCTTCTTCTTCTTTTATGCCGTCATTAAATGTTTCGTAATGGTGTTGTTGTTGTTGTTTTTGTCGTCGTTGCAAGTCCGGCTTTATAAATGACAATTGCTGCTGATCGTTTCGTACCGCTGAAGAAATTGTCATCAATGACGGCATTTTTCATTTTTTCTCCTTGGACGACATTCAAACTTCATCCAGACATCTGTGACTGGGCCATTGATATTGAATGTTGTTGGTTTCTGTTTATTTGTAATTTATATTGAATATTATATTTTTGCGTTTGTTTGTATGTATTTTTTTAGTTTATTGTGGTGTGTGGTTTAAGCAGATCTTAGTTACATTTTTACATATACATATATACTATAGTTACTTCTTGTTTTGATCATTTAGTTACTCTTTTTGGGCATTTTTAGTGTAGTGTTCTATGATGAGGAGAGAGAGAGAGAGAGAGAGAGAGAGAGAGAGAGGGGAAAAGGGGTGGTTTAGCAAATCAATATCGGCAGTGGCAAAAATTAAAAAAAAAATACATATTTTGGCCACTATCACAAGCAAACGTATTTTTCTGAAAATGTATCACAACTCCGAACACCACTTTCATTTAACATGAAATGAGTATTCAAAACATCTTAAAATTCTAGCAATTATTGAGCAGAAAAAAAAATGATATTCACAAACAGAAACAAATGAAATATATTTTAGGACTTAAAATGTCACAACACAACACGATCGCACTAAAAATTCCAACAGCCAAAATTAGATCCGCACACTCGCTGTGGTTATCATACTGAATTTCAGAATTCCAGCCCTAACACTACACCCCATTAGGCACGCATTTTCAAAAACAACCAGTAAAGAAAGTCCTAAAGTCGGGCGGGACCGACTTTATCATACCCTACACCACTTGGCTAATTAAGTAGAGCTCCACATAACAATTAAAGGTTTTTATGGGAGAATTCATCATCATACAAACTATGATTATAATTATAATTTAAAGTTCCAAGGACTAAATATGCCGAAGCATTTGAATTGTTTAAATTCGGATTCGTATTGCCCATTTGGTGCACAAATAATTTAAAATCGGATAAAAATATATATGAGAGCTATATCCAAATCTGGACCGATCTCGATAAAATTTAGCAAAGGTATTTCTGAGCTGTATTTGATATATTACCCCAAATATTGTTGTTGCAGAGTGAATATTACGGCCGCGGAGGACAAAAATAACAAATCGGATGAACAATATATATGGAAGCTATAGCTATATCTGAACCGATTTCGATCAAATTTGGCATACTTATTTTCAGGCCTAATTTGGGTGTATATATATGTTTCATACAATTCGGGCTGATATTACACGTTTGGTGCACAATAAAATGCAAATCGGACGAAGATATATATGAGAGCTATATCTAAATTTTGACCAATTATCTCCAATTTCAATAAGGTTCTTCCTTGGGCCAAACAAATTATCTGTGCAAAATTTCATCTGGATCGGGCAATAAATGCGACCTGTACTTTGTTTACAAAAATACATGGACAGACGGACGGACGGACATGCATAAATCGACTCAGAATGTGATTCTATGCAGATCATCAAAAGGAACTATGGGTCTATCTCGTTTCCTTTTGCCTGTTACAAACAAATGCACAAAGACATAATACCCTGACCACCTTGTGGTGTAGGGTATAAAAATTTTAGTACCAGTAGATTCAGTACCATTAAATATTACACAGTAGTACCATTTAGTACTTTTCGCATACAATGAAGAAAGAATTTCTATTCAGGCGCTTTATACCAAATTTAATACTTTCCGTACGTTATACAGCACACTTTTCCAAAAACATTGCACTGTTTGGTACTTTTTTCACAAGTAAAGTTCAAGATTCATTAAAAACCCCTGGTAGGTCTATGCTACACTCCACTAGTAACCCCTCATTCCAATGGTACTAAATTTTGTAGCTTATGGTACTTTTCGTACCTTTCTATGTTTTTCCCGACACATTTTTGTTTATCATAGGCAAACTTACACACAACAATCCAGAGCTCTAGCATATCTCAAGCGCTCAGTACTTATGTTACCATAATAACAATTTTTTCAGACGTAATTCAATAATATTTCATTTTTAATTCCAATTATTCCATTTGAAATTCGAAACAAAAAATCCCAAACATTTTTTGCATTCGTTTCATATTTGCTTTTTCGAATTACAAACCAGCAAACTTGAAATTTTTCAAAAAAAAAAAAAAACTTCCGAAAATTACCACTTAAATGAAAACTGTTAAATGGAGACTATACGAAGACGTGGACCCTTGTTACAATTCCGGTGAATAATGTTTCACAATTCATAAAAATATAGAGTATTGGGAGGTACCGTTATATGGAGCTGTACGAAGACGTTGACCTGCTGTTGCACCCATTACGAACTTCAAATACGAAATTTGAAATAATTCCGGTAAATAATGTCGCCAAACTCATAAAAATACCGAATATCGGAAGGTACCGTTATATAGAAGCTGTATGAAAACGTTGACCTGCATACGATTTTTTTTCCATAGGTTGTAGTAACCATTAAGATCTCCCAATACGAAATTTGAAACGATTCCGGTGAATAATGTTGCTGAAATCATCAAAATACCGAATATCGGTAGGTACCGTTATATGGGGGCTATACGAAGGCGTGGACCTGCATACAAAAATGTTTGTCATAGGCTGTAGTACCCATTACGGACTTTAATTGAAATAATTCCGGTAAATACTGTCGCTAAAATCTTGAAAATACTGAATATCGGGAGGTACCGTTCTATGGGTATAGCCGACATTGCCCATGGGTGGACCGACATTGCCCATTTCCGAACTTAACCTGCATACTCGCAAACTATGTATGCATGCACAATTTTAGCCTTCTATCTCAATTCGTTCGAAAGATAGTGTGATTACAACAAATAGACGGAGAGACCGTTTATGAACTCCAAATACAATGTTTAAGATAATTCTGTTCAAAAATTAGATAATTAACTAAATGCCAAATATTGGAAAGTGCCGTAGTATGAGGGCTATAAGAAAACGTGAATTTCTATGGACAACTTTCTGTAAGTAGGAAACAGAACTCACTGCGAACTCCAAATACCAAATTTGGAATTACTCCGGTAAAAACTGTGACACAAATCATCGAAATACGGATTAACTGGAGGTACAGTAATCTGGGGTCTATACCGAAACTTGGAACAGTTCTCCGCAAGGATGTTTTCTACATGATGGAAACAAATATTCTCAATTTACAGCAAATTTGATATGAAATTGTGACTAAAACATGAGGCGTATGAGGCCAAACTATGAGGCCTATTCCAAAACGTGGGCATATATAACACATTTTCAATGCCAAAAGACCTAAAGCAGACCATTTGAGGAAAATTTCATCGACCTACTTCATTTTGTTCGGAAACAAGATTGATTTCTTTGGACGGACATTTTATGGTAATGTACTTTGTAGGGTTTAATATTTGTATATTAAAAATGATGTGTAGAGAAAAAAAAACAACTTATGTACATATCAACGAATTGGGTACCCGATGTTAACCAGACTTAGCTCAGCAAACATGGAAAATATCGGGCTACTGCTTCTCCTCATAAATTCAGTTTCCGATATCTGAAAACTACTTAAATGCCAAAAAGACGGCATAAGATCTAGCATGAAAAAAATTATTTGTCGGTTTCTTCCTTCTGACACTTTTCCCAGAGAGTGTCTAAATTAGTTACACTCAAGCACTTTCATAAAATACGAAATTATTCCCAATTTTCTTCAAACTTCGCAAATTGCAATATGTGTACAAATATACAGAGTGAGATGAAAAAACTGCAACCAACATCAGGCTGCTGTAATTTCTAAGCCACTCGTCCGACAGCTGTTAAAATCATTCTAGTGACAGCTCATTGTTTACTAGCGTACAAAAGCGGTGAGAATTTTCCAGAGAAAAAGTTATTCGTGTTGGAATTCAATCGTGATAGTGTGATTTCTTTATATTTGGCTGGAAAACCACAAGTGGCTATCGTTAGAGTACTCCAGCATTTAAATGTGAATAAATCTTTTGTGTCTCGTACCATCGCTCGTTACCGTGTTACTGGTAGCGTAGCCCGACGTCAAGGAAGTGGACGGAAGAAAACAGCAACATCAGCAGAAATGCTTCGAAATGTAAAGAACCGACTTGATCAAAACCCGCTTCACAGTGGCCGAAAAATGGTTCGTGAGCTGAACATATCGCAATATTCCATTCGACAAATATTGAAAAATGAGCTCGGGGTAAAGCCATTGAAATTCCAAAAAGGGCAAGAACTTACACCGCAAGATAAAGAAAATAGACTCAAAATAGCTAAAGAGCTGCATCGTTTGGCCGAAAGTGGTGAACTGACAATTTTTTTTTCTCCGATGAGAAATCATTGGTTGTCCAGCAGTTTGTAAACAAACAAAATGATCGTGTTTACTTGCCAAAGAGGTCAGCAGAAAATGTGCACCTTCGGTTGCCCATCAGAACTCAAGTGCCGGCCATGGTGATAGTGTGGGCCGCCATATCAGCCGATGGTCGCTCTCCGATCGTATTCATCGACCGTGGCATCAGAATAAATGTCGAAGATTGTCGCGAAAATATTCTGGCGTGTGTATTAAAGCCTTGGGCCCGCAAACATTTCGGCCGCAGACCTTGGACATTCCAACAGGACTGTGTGCCTGGAGTATTTTAGAATGCAAGGTTGGGACTAAATAATACCAATGTGTCGATCACCTCAAGGGCCTAAATGCCGCAGAGCAACATTCGGGCAGCGTGTGACGGTTTCATTGACCGTTTAAAGGCCATAATTCGTGCCACAGGTGACCAATTCGAACAAATCTAAACTTATTCTAAAATATATTGCTATTTCCGAAATTTTTTACTTTCATTCGATAAAATTTAAAAAAAATGTAAAAATTATGTCATTTGACTTTGACAATTGACTTTTTTCCAATATTGATTCACTATTTGACCATGATATAATGGTGACTTCCGATTAAAAGGGGTTTGAATTCTTCAACCACATTTTCTAAATTCGGCCGTGAAGAGTTAATCAAAACTTAAATCTATAATCAAAAGCGATCATATTTTCTGTTAGAAAACAATTAATTCAAAATTTAGGACAGAAGGGTATATTCTACTCAAATGCTATCTTGTTTTTAATTTTACTGATATCCGTGTTGGACACAAAAAAAAACGTTGAAGTCTCCCATTTTTTTCTCAGTGACTAAAAAATTCAATAAAGAGAAACACATTTGAAAAAGTTCAATATTAAGTTTTTCAATGGAACATGTGCAAGTAACAATTGTACATTTCGTATAATTCTTCATCTACTATGGTTTCACCCACATTTGTATGAATGGCACTTCATACATACAA